ATGTTCTAATTTAAATGCAAATTCTAAAACCATACATAAATACTCTCCTTTGGTTATCTGCTGTTCGGGATTGTCAGATCTTTGCACAGTCAGCCGATTTTTACCTGCTAATGAAGAAGAGAAAGTTGCCGTTTTCCAAAGCAATGGGCCAGGAATGCTAACAGTTACAAGAATCAATCTCATTTGACTTCTGCTTGCAGTTTATGACTCAGAGGTACCCCTCCACACACACATAAATTCAGACCACTTTTTTTGTTTTACTAAGATTTCGAGGCAGTGTAGTTTCTTGTCTGTCTATGGCATGATCTTTCACAAAGTGGTGCTTCCAGCTTCCATGCCTCAGAACTAGCGATCTTTGTGAACTCAATACAGGCAGAACTTTCAGCTCAGAAGGCAGAATTCTTTATATTAAGAACACAACTTGGTTAAACCCTGTTAGAGGATAATGCGACATTGTGACGCTCTTTTAAGATCGGGCTTCACTTACTGTTTTACTGATTTGTGAATGGAAAGGAAGCTGGAATGGGAGGCGGTAACCCTGGGTTCTTGTCCCAGATCTGTTGCCTTGGGCAAATCATTACCCTCTTCAGTGCTTGGTTTTATCATCTTAAAAAAAAAACCAAGGCGCTTGTAACTCTAATATTTCATTGTTCTAATTTTATCTGTATCTTCATAGTAAGAACATCAATTATTTTATCTTTCACCTTTGTGGCACTGTCCAAGTAACAGCACCCAAACTGATACTTCCTTAGGGAAGTTTTATTTGAGGCTAAGACAAAAACTATCACAGAAGATAAAGCAAGCAAATGCATGTATCAACTCAGGCCTTTGTGATTTTTGTTCAAGGCTTGCAACTACTTAAATATGGATAATTATTGGCTATTTCAAGGAACAAAGAGGATAGTAAGAGATCAGTAGATGATGATTTATTTTAATCAAAAGCAAAGATAGAGTGGAAAGTGCTGCCTTCACCCATTAGATCTCCTTATCTAGATTTTTATATTGTCTTGATTTATGTGAAAAAATACATCTTAGTATTAACCCTATTTCCACACATTCGAAAGCCATTCAGAGCTGCCACTTAAATGAAAATTAAAGGTTTGAGACAAAAGTGAAAGTACGTTGAAAAGATACTACACAAAATGCTTGGCCTAAAGTCATTTTGAAGCAATTATGGATCATAAAGACTTTCTCATACAAATTCTGCAGTTTACCCAGCAGGAAACCAAGGCTCAGAGAACTTCAATGGCTCCATTTAAAGGCCTGTTCTTGGATAGAGGCGGAATCCCTGAGAGCTGATGATTCAAGAATAAGAGTGTCAACTCCCAAAGTTTTCCCGTGATCCACTCAACCTCAGCCAGCCCTTTTTGACAGTTCAGCCAAGGCCCTGCTTTGTTTATCTAATTATTGGTTAGCCTGTGGCTCTGTTCACAAATACAGCACTGACAATTGTATGTGACATGGATTTGTGATGGGTGAAAGCTGGCTTCACTTTTAGTGTCACCAAACCTTTGGCTTCAGATACATACCATGAAAAAATTTCTGGTGTAATTCAAGTAGTATTAATTCTTTCCACCCATCAGACATAAAGATCTTTGACACTGATCTGTTTGGTGTTTAGATACATTTGTCAAATGCCCATGTTAACTCTGGTGGAGTCACGATGAGTTGTAACTCTCCATAGCCAGAAACTGGATTTTGTAAGATCATTTACAGGTGATTAGTTCCTGAGGGTCATCAATTTAAAACATGAGCAATTCCTAGAAAATCTAAATATCAGTGTCATAAGCCAAAGAAATAAGCCAGTTATCTTCTTCTTCTACTCCAACTAGAAAATTTGGTTTTCGAACAAAGAATTAGGAAGGAAATTGGTTTCTGTCAAATTTGCTGTATCTGGCTGATTTTACCAGCGGAGCCTTCTTCTATAAACCATAGATGTATCTGCCAAGCAACTAGTAATACGACGTTAGTTCACAACAGGGAAATGCTGGCTTCTCCTTATTTACTGTTTATTTCTAGCATGTCTTTTGTCACTAAACCACCTATTGTTTATCTTGCACATTATATTGCACCACATGTCATGTGTTGACAATTAGGATGTGCCTTAACTTCACCTGCAACGCATTTAATGGCTACATCTTGTACTGAAAAACATTATTCCATGTTTTCCGGTCCTAAACTCTGTCATCTTACATGTGAAATTGTACTAGTCACTCTGATTCTATTCCCCAGACTTATTTTTGGCTGCTGTTTAACTTTCGTTGAAGGATAACATAAATACGGAAAAGAGCCCAGGTTATAAATTTATGTCATGATGAATTTTCATGAAGTAAACAAATCCAGGTAACCAGCACCCAGATTAAGAAACAAAATGTTGCCAGGCCCCCTAGGATCACCCCTTTCACCCCCTTCCCATCCATATCATGACCTCCCACTCCACCAAAGAAAACCGTCATCTTTTCTTTAGCACTGTAGATTCGATTTTTGCTTATTTTTGAACTTTATAAAGTGGAATTTTATGGTGTGTATTCTTTGGTGTCTGGCTTTATTTTTGTGAGATTAATCCAAGCCGTTGCATATAGCTGTGGCTTGTTCATTCACACTGCTGTGTGGTATTCAATTTGGGGAACATACCTTATCCATTCATTCTGCTGTTGTTGGGCATATGGATGGTTTCCAGTTTGGGGTTGCTGTAAATAGTGCTGCTGTGAACATTCTTATATGTACGTGTCTTTTCTTTGGTGAGCTTACCGCCATATTTGTGTAGTATATACTTAGAGTGTATACTTAGAGTATAACCAGTGTCCAGCTTAAGTAGATACTGCCTAACAGTTTTCCAGAATCTTCCGCCCTTTCCAGTTGTCCAGTATTCTCATTGATGCTTGACACTCTTTTATGGTGGGTGTCATAGTAGTTACATCTGTCATTTGATCTTCAGGGTTTTGGGGGGGGGTTTTGTATAGAATAATTTCTGAATTCCCTTTTACTTTTGACAGTTTCTTTTTTTACGAAATACCAATTTTAAAACTCCTTTTGGTACTATAGATAGTAGAAGCAGGAAAATGCCATCTGCCATTTTATATTGTGATGATAACAGGAAGAGCTAGAAAAGATTATCATTATTGCTGATGGTAGAAAATAAATCCACAGAATGTTTTTGTGTGGTGGCAGGATCCTACTCTAGCTTGTGAAGTTTATCCAAAGTTGATCACTTCAGGAAAGACAGCTCTAAAAGGCAACAAAAGATAATTCATTTTGTATAATCCCGCGTTGCCTTCAAAGTTGAAGGCCCAAAGGCCCATAGAGAAATGGGCAAAGCTAATACCACTTGCCCTTCCTTAATCCCTGTAACCCTTGTCTTATTACATGTGCAGTGGAGATAAAATGCAGAAGACAAACAGCAGTCTTGAAACAAAGACACCTCATCTTATTCACCATTTAAGTAAACAAAGCAAATACATGCATACCTATGAATTGGCATACCTGTTTGTGTTTGAAATATGCATTCACTCATTTCTCAGATATCTGTGGAATATTTCCATTATGTCAGGTACTGAAATAGTTGCCAGGGATACAAAAACACAAACTCCTGCTTTCATGGGGCTTATAGTCTAAAGAGGAGACAGATGTGTCAACAAATAGTTACTATAAAGTATAAAAATGTGTCATCCATTGGGACTGCTGTAATAGAATACCATAGAACTGGGTGGCTTACATGCAACAGAAATTTAATCCTCGCAGTTATGAAGGCGAGGAAATTGAAGATCAAAGCACCAGCAGATTCAGTGTCTGGTGAGGGCTCCCTTCCTGGTTTATAGATGGCTGTCTTCTCACTGTCCTCACATGGCAGAAGGGGGCAAGGGAGCTCTCGGGGGTCTGTTTTATAAGGACACTAATCCCATTCATGAGGATTATGAATCCTCATGACCTAATCACCTCCCAAAGACCCCCCACTTCCAAATACCATCACGTTGCGAATTAGGTTTCAACATATGGATTTTGGGGGGCAGACACAAAGCACACTCATTCTACAGCAAAGCATGTGTGAAATCAAAAGGTATATACACAGGTAGCAGTAAGTGGCACAAAAAGAGAATGAGCAGGTCTTCCAGAATGGGAGATGTTGGAAGAAGGCTGCTCATGGAATTTGCCAAACCAGGGCCATTACAGGGCAGAGGGAACTAGACAAGCACATAGGGGACAAACTTGTCTCTCCTTGTCTGAGGTATGATGGGGAGGAGGAGAAACAGCAAATGATGAAGGGCTTCAAATACTATATCAAACACTATACCAGAGAGTTGGGCTTGATTCCTCCCCACTGCCTATAGAGTCAGTCCTTTAGACATTTCTGAGTGCTGTGCCAGATTTTAGATATAGAGAAATTGATCCATGTAGCCTATCAGCAGATGTTCCTTGAATACCTACTGTTTTCCAGAATCTTATCCTTAAAAAACAAAATTTCATGGGGGAGAAAGACATGTTAAAAAAAAATGATTACAGAACTGCCTGGTAAGTATTATAATTCAGATACATACTTTCTTCCCTAGACCTTGAAAACAGTACATTGTCCAGGAACTCTGAACCTTGAGGAGTTTTAAACAGGGAACTAAGAATGATCATAGTTTTGATTTAGAAAAAGCAATGCTGATAATAGAGTGCTTGCCAGAGTGATCTGCAGCTAAGGTAGATGCTTTAAACATTCATCGACTTAGTAATGTTTATCATTTTAAATAAATTTTGTGAGAGTGGTGAGACTTCACTTGAATCATCGATACTTTTTCTAAGCCCAGAGCATGCTGGGACAGCTGGTAGCCTCACCACCAGGAGCAGGCTTCTCAGCTCTCTTGTTCTTGCTTTTCAGGTAACCAAGAATGAACGTCAGGTTATGAAGCCACTATATGACAGGTACCGGCTGGTCAAACAGATCCTGTCCCGAGCCAACACCATCCCCATCATTGTGAGTTCCCCACCTCTGTGTAGCTGATTACTTGGTTGAATAGGCCCTAGCTATATGAATAGAGCTAACCTGCTTTCTCATTGAAGAATAGTCTTTAATAGTTGAACCTGCCACTAATATTTATGGCCCATACGCTTGAAGAATGAAAACTTTATCAAAGACTTCTGAGGCTACATTTGTCAAAAAAGAGCAAATCTGAATCTGATAAAAATATTTTTTGCAGAGGAGTTGTGCTTTGGCCATATACATACATCTGACATGTGCTTGGCCAACTCCCCCGTCCTTTCTTCAGAGATGGAGCACGAAGGGGACAGGGCTGTGCTTTCTCCAGGCCTTTCCACTCCAAAGAGCACCTCTCTGGTCCTGAGAGCCCTCTGTTAATGTCCTCTCCCCCTCCAAGCCGGGATAAGCCCCTCAGGGATCCTATCCAAGGAAAATCCCTCTAAGGAACTCTGGAAAGTGAGCCTCCTCCTTTTGGAGGTTGTGGAGAAATGTAATGTGGAAGGAAAGGGAGGGAGGCTAATGACTGTGAAGGTGCTCGCAATGGCCACCATCCTTGGACTTAGCTGCTTTGGGCCTCTGAGTTCCGATTTTGTCAAGAGCGGGGAGCAGCGCCTTTCCCTTTATCCCAATCTCAGCTTTTCCACCCGCAGCCCTGTCCCATCTTCTGGGGACTGGGTTGCCTTTAATTCAGTGTTCTCATCTCCAGGGATCCTGGGGGCTTTTAGGCTTTGTAGGAAGCAGCCACATCCCCACTTACGTTGTTGCTCATATGAGAATTCATCCTAGCTGCTGCACTTCTATTCCTGCTTTAAATCTCCTTGTTTATTTCTAGCCCTAAGCTATGGTCTTTATGTATCTTTTAACAGTATACTTGTTCATATAAATGAGGGAGGGTCCAGAGAGCTCATGCAGGTGTGTTTGAAGAAAGCTACTTTCCTAGAAATTTCCTGCAAAATAAATTAGTAAACTAACCAATAAAATAATTAAATCTAAGGAATGGTTTTCATTCTTCAATTAGGAACTCTTAGTGTCCCTAAATAGGTAAATGGACAGCAGAGAAGTGAGATAACCTTTGTACAACTTGATGAGCTCATGTTGTTGTAGTTAAAGCTTATTACAGCTCAGATGTTCTTGTAGTTACTGTGATTGGGGTGGAACGCGGGTGGGGAGGCACGTGTTTCTCCTCAAGTTAACATGCCTGTGTGCTGTTCTTGCGCTCATGTGAGCTCCTTGAGTTGGGGCGGGGGCTTTCTAAAGTGAAGGAGCAACTTGGAAAAGAACTTTGGTTGTTTCTAGTTTTCCTGGGAATTTTTGGTGGGGAGGGAAGCAGCGGTTCTCAACCTTCCTAATGCCACGACCCCTTAATACAGTTCCTCACGTTGTGGTGACCCCCACCCATAAAATTATTTTCGTTGCTACTCTATAACTGTAATTTTGCTACTGTTATGAATCGTCATGTACATATCTTTTTGTTTTCCGATGGTCTTAGGCAACCCCTGTGAAAGGGTCTTCCGATCCCCAAAGGGGTCGCGACCCACAGGTTGAGAACCGCTGGACTAGAGTATATCGTTAAAAGGTGGTAATAAACACAGGTGAGGCAGAGGAGGCAGAGAGCTGGTGGGAAGGGGGAAGGGACTCTTCATGTAACCTACTGTTAACACCTGTCGCAGGGATCCCCCTCCAGCAAGCGGAGAAGCCCTTTGCTGCAGCCAATTATCGAGGGTGAAACTGCTTCCTTCTTCAAGGAGATAAAGGTGAAGACCTCCAGCTGCTAACCACTTCGGAAATCTGCCTCCCATCTCTCCCTTTGTCCTGTGAATGAGGGGTTGTGATTGGGCCCTTCGGTGGTGGCTTCTTGTGGCATGCCCCCAAAATCTGCACATAACCAACTTTGAACAATCCTTTTTTATTTACATTATAGGCTAGCTGATTTCCTTAGTTTCATTTCATTCCCCGATTTTTGTTTTTGTTTTTGTTTTTTTCTTTTTGCTGTTGTTTGCTTTGTGTTCAGGGATGATTCCTTTGTTTTGTTTTCACAATGTTTTTAGTTCTGAGGGTTTTGGTTTTGTTTTTTTGCCTAGTTAAAGAATGGATTTTTTTTATATTTTAAAATTTTATTAAATTAGTTCATTGGGTATCTTTTTAAAAGGAAACTTCATTTACTGAGTTTATAGAAAAAAACAAAATTAATAAAGACCACACACACACACACACACACACACACACACACACANATATATATATATATATATATATAATCATGTAATAAAGAAATTACCATTTTATAGACAAATATCTTAGTTGTCTTTAGCAATTTTGCTGGTACAGCTTCACCCACCCTACCTTCCTCTCACCTTTCCCTGGCACATTTAGTCCCCAGGACGAATTTTATAATCTCTTCTTGATCGTTGAATATAGTGCTGTGACCAGCAGTCATTAGAACATATGCTTGGCTTTTTTTCCCCAGTAGTAATTATGGATTTTATACAAATAATCCTTGTCCTCAGTGACTACTTTTACTGGATTTGGAGGTTTGACCTGTGTCCAGGGGTCTGTGCGTCTCCTGCAGGGACCTATTTGGTTGTCGGAAAAGTCATGATGCATTTTTGTAATGAAAAACAGACAAAATACGTCATGACTTTTCCAACAACCCAATAATTGACCTGTACTAGGATAAGCCTCTTTCATGTTTGTGTTTCTAGACAACTGAACTAACTGGATGGCCTTATTTATACACAGCTCTAGAGATGAAAGTCAGCATTAATCATTTTTTTTTAAATCAGCGATTGCTTTTTAGCAGTTTTTTAAGTCAGAGGGGGGAGCGAAACCAAAAACAGAAGTGACTTTTAAGAGTTACACCTGTCATATTTCCCTGACAATTCCAAGCCTGGGAGGTCATTTATTTACTGTAGTTAGGAATGATTATTCCAGAATATGGGGCCTCATTCTCACAGAGGGACACCAATTGAGAAGCATTCCATTTTCCTGTCTAATTCTTATTATAACTGAGGTAAGATACCAGAAGTTACAGTCTTCTGCTTTATTCACTCTATTCCTTTTCTTATCTCTGAGAGGTCTTGAATACTTCATATACCTAAATTTACGGTATTAGGCAATGATTGTGCTTACTATTCCTATTATTTTAAATAGAATTTGTTTCATGAAAATGCTCTGTGAAATTTAGATGAATATACTATATTATATCTTAAAAATTAGAGCTATTTTCTTACAATAAGACTTGATGAAGGAAGACACCTTTTGTCTAGCTGGTAATTTCACCCAAGGATTAAATCACTGTAATTGAAGAAATTTAGACAATTGTATGTATGAAAATTCACATATTTCTCTTAGAATCATGTGCTAGAACTGTTACCAGATTAAAATGTGTTCTTTAACACATCTAAAATATGACACTTAATAATTGCCTCGTGAAACAAATGGAAGACATACTAATGATGCTCTTTTTAAAAGAGGACGTTCTTCCAAATCTTCTCCTTTAGTTCAGTTTGGTTTTTTTCACAAGTATATTTTGGCCATGGCTCTTCTACTGGCTCATGTGATGATCAGAATGTCTGATAATTTTGCAATGATTACATTGCTTTTGTAAATAGTGCTGTCTTTTAGTTCATTTTGTTCCAATTGGCCAGGTTTATTGTTAGCATGTATTTGGTTTGTACTAGTTCTTGGCAGTTCTGATACAATTTAGAATTTAGTGTGTGTGCAGATAAGAAGATTGTATCCAAGTGTTTCTAAAAAAAAAAAAAAAAAACCATCCCTGGTTTTAAGTGTTTGTGGGAGGAAACCAGCTGTGTATGAAAACAGAGCCAGCTCAAGTTCTAAGGCCCTAAATCTTCCAGCCCCAAATCCTAAAGGTCATCTAGTCAGTTCTATCCAACATAAAAATTTCCTCTAAAACTTCTCTGACAGAATAGAAGTGGTTGCATCTTCAAACTTGATAAGTTTACAGCAACGGGGAGAAATCAGGTCACTCATTATTGGATTAAACGTCAGTAATAGCTAAAAACTCATATTTTATAATTATCATTTTTAAAATTACAAAATGCAACATTATATAATATGTAATTTTAGAAAGTATAATAAGTCTGATAACTATAAAATATCAGTTAATGAACATAATTTAAAATTAAAATATTCATAGCCATTATTAATATATTACTTTCTACTTAATAGGCTGAGTTTTGCCCTCTGGAACAACATAGTGCTTCTTCCATGAGAACACTGCATATATTTATGGTCACCCGCCTTGCCCACGCCCACTCATACCCTGTGGAATTCTTTTCTCCAAGCTCTTCTTACTGTTTCTCATGTGATGTGGGTTGCAGACCATCCAGCAACCTAGTGACTCTGCCTTATACGCACACACCAGTGTCTATCCCTCTTGAAAACTGATACCCAGAGCTGTACACTATTCTAGATATGGTTTAAACAGCAAGACAGTAGATCAAGGATGAGTCCTGACCTTGATCTAGATGACTAAGACCCTTCAGCTCCTCAACTCTGTGACTACCTGACTGTCAGTGTATTGTGAGTTCATTCTAGGCCTTCTTTAGCAGGGTATCTCCACTTCAATGCAGACATTTTGGGCCGGGTAACTGTTGTGGGCAGCTGGCCTCCACTCGCTACATACAGTGCACTGCGACCATCCCCTCCCCAGCTGTGACAAACAAAAATGTCTCCAGGCATTTCCAAAGGCCCCCTAAGGGGCAGAATCACCCCCAGTTGAGAACCACGGCTTGTGACCCAGTCTCATTGCTGATTTACGCAACCCTGTTTCATTTTCCATGGATGACTTACTGTGTTTGTCCAGCTTTTCGTTTTCCTAACATAACTAGAGGACCTTGCATTTTTCCAATTAGTTACTTTTCATACTTCTATTCCAGCCTTATGAAATAGATCAAATCTAGATTTTGTATTGCAACATACCAGTTGCTATAACCCACTTTCTATTACCTACACGTTTTATGAATATGCCTTTTGTGTCTTTATCCAAGTGATTGATAAATATTGAATAAGGCAGAGTCAGATAAAGGGCCTGTTACAGACTTTTCTCCAGATTCACGTCACCGTTGCATCATCACTGCAGATTTTCACAACCGGCTTTCCTTTGATATAGGTCAGCTCACATCATTCTTTCTTGAAATGCAGTTATTATGCCAACCCTATCAAACATGGGAAAATGGTTTTCCTGATTTGTTCTTAAGGAGTCAGTGCTAGTCACTGTTGATCATTGTTCTTTATTAATTGCTCATACATTATCTATGTATTGAGTCCTTTTAGAATCCAATTTTCACAACAACCTGATGTTGTTATAATTTGAAGATCTATTTTGGCTGTTTTTCTTTTTTCCTATAATGGTCACAGCTTACTGAGATTAGTTTTGTTTAGTTTCATCTTAAAAAACATTGAGTTCTCACTGTGTGCAAGACACATTCTCACATTTTTAAGTTTTCTCGGGACCTCGGAATATAATTAATAAGGCCTAGACACCTGATTTCATTTCTCATGTGTCTAGGGCTTTAAAACTCTCTTAATAGTAGTTTGTATTTCTCTTTTAAAATTCAATTACTAGACTGTTTAACAGACATTTATTGAGTACCTACTATATGCAGGTATTAGCCAAGCTCTGGGACTGCAGTGTTCAGACAGGTCCAAATTCCTGCCTCCGTGGAGTTTACGGTCAGGTGGTTCTACCTGGTCTTCCTCATCCAGAGAAGGGGGTAGGGAGAGGGCGCAGCAGGCTGCGATGTGCTGCCTGTGTGCCAGGAACACCTTATCGGGTATTGACATACATTATCTCAGTCACTTATGAAGACGTCAGAGGTGGGAATTGTTACTTCCTCTTACAAAAAAGAGAAACTTTTATTAATTTAAAAGTCATGTTTACTTTGTTCATTTAAAAATGTTTTTAATAATTTAAAATTTTAAAAACTAATAATGAGGCCCTGACTTCCATGGACCAAGCCAAAATATTGAAGATCTAAAGTCACCCCAGAGAGAATCTGAAAAAGCCACTAGTTTTTGCCAATGTTGTCTTCATCACAATGCTTTCATTGTGGTTATGGAACGGTCCTTTTTTTGTTGTTTTCTTTTGCCTGTTTATTTACATTATTTCTCTTCAGAGACACCATTATAAACATACCAAACTTTAAGTAAGAAAATCCACCACATGCAGTGTCCGTACTTGTACTTTGATGACCAGTGGTAACTGCTCCTGCATCCTGAGATGAATTTGCTGCATTGGCACTGAGGCCACTGGGTTTAACTAGAACGGTTAATGCTGTACTTCCTGATGTTCATATAGCAGTACTACTAACCGATTTTGTCATTTTCCAAGATATTAGAATATTTTCTTCTGGTCTGACTGTACATTTTGGCGGTAAATTACTTTTAAAATCTTTCAGACTCTGATATTATTTTTTCCTTAGACTTACATAGCTTTAAAATGGGCCTTACAAAATACTAATTTGACTCCATTGTTTTTTATAATTGCATGTGGTCAAGACAGAGAATATGATACTTTTCTTAGACTCTTGGATACTGAAAAATACAATCATTGCCCTTGGAAATTCCTTGAAAACAACAGGAGATTTACAATTCTAATCATGGGAAGATAAATGTTTCGATTTTGTCAAAAATTCCCTAAGATTTTGTGTATCAAGCAGCCACAAAATATTTTATAATCTCAACTCTTAAATAGAAAGGCTGTATTGTTTGATTTCTGAGAATGTTCATAGTTTAATAAAAAATATTTTCTGACATATACAAGTAATGCAGTCCTGAAAGCACTGATGGCTAGTGGTGGATTTTCTTATGTATTTTCACAGAGCTGGGAATTTTTAGATTCTTTTGCTTCATTTGATTGAGGGTATAAATTAGTTTGGTTGTTCCTCCCTGTCCTCAGCCTTGACAAATGTTAATTGTGATGTACACTATTTTTTCCCCCTATTGAGTGACTGTATTTAGTGTTTGTGTTATTTACTATGTGCATATAGATGTTCAATAATATATTCATACTGTGCATATGTGTTGCTAAGTATTGGAGTAGAAGAAACTATATGGTGTCTGGATAATTAAAAGATTGTTAAATGATACTTGTGATGAAAGAGTGCCAGAAAAAGTAACCAGATTCTGGTTGGGGTTGCTTTGTATCTCCAGGAAGAAGAGGAGGGTTCAGAAGATGATAGCAACACAAAACCGGACTTCACAGTCACTCTGAAAACTGATTTCAGTGCCCGTTGCTTTCTGGACCAATTTGAAGATGATGCTGATGCGTTTATTTCCCCAATGGATGATAAAATACCGTCAAAGTGCAGCCAGGACACTGGGCTTTCAAATCTCCATGCTGCTTCAATGTATGTTGTTTTGATGTTGAAATGTTTGAGTGAAAATAGCTTTCCTAAATATTGTTTTAGTCTTTACTTAAAATGGCTGACCAAACACAGGTGACTTACCTGGGGTGCATCTGTGTGGATAAAACAGTGAAATTTTTTTTAACTTCTGGCTCAGTTTTTGTATGAGCTTCATCCTGTGTTATCTGAGGGAGCATCGGAGATCTTGCTTAAATAATCAGAATGGCTCTGTAAATGGCACCGTGTGGTTCTGTACTCTACAGCTCATCATTTAACACTCACTGAGCACAGATGTCATCTCTTTCTTTCAAAGCAAAATGTGACAAAGCACCATGGGATTTCACAAGCCCTAAGGATTACTCAGTAGCAGGAGCCTTGTTGGAACCCCAAAAGCCATAGCTGTTATCAGTATTTCAGGGAATAAAAAACATTCCTTCCTGCTGACCCTCAGCTCCCTCAACGGTTTTTGCATTTATGTGTTTCCCACTTTGTCCACAAACCCTATCAAGTTGCACATTCGTTACGTGTATGACAATTCAGATATAACTCAATTTTCTTGACATTCTTCTGCCCCTCTTAGACCAGAACTCTTGGAACATCTACAGGAAATGAGAGAAGAAAAGAAAAGGATTCGAAAAACACTTCGTGATTTTGAAGACAATTTTGTCAGACAAAATGGAAGGTAGTGTATGTGTTTTCCTTCCCTCACCCCTTCTGCACACACATCCTCTTTTTTTTCTGTCAAGTGTGTGCAATGCCTCCCAAGTGGGAACCGCTTTGCATCTTCCCTGTAACCTAGCCCTCAGGTTTGTGTCCCGGACCCCTTCGAGGCTGACTGTGAGATGGTGAGGTTTATGTGGTCCTTCAGAAGAAATCCTTCTTGGATAGTATCCAAGACTGATGCAGATTGAGCTAACATTTATAAAACTAGCATGTCACATCAAATTTTAATCTAAAATGAGCAGCTTGAAGCTATCTTCCAGTCGACAGCACTGCTTTGGTTTGGTTTGGTTTTTTTTGTCTTCAGAAACTAGGAAGAGAAATAAGGAAAGGACTCTAAATCTTGCTGGGTTGTAAGCACACTTTAAAAGCAAAGGTGGTAGTTGTTAAGTTTGAATGAAAACTATGCAAGAAGCAGTAAATGCACCCAATTGATAGGGTACTTTCCACCAGTAAGTTTTAAGGCATAATGGACTCCTTATGTAACACTGTGCTGAGGTTTAGTCTTCCATGTTTGAAAATGGCTGCACACAGTGTCTCACTCAAGTCATAACAGGAGGCAAGGAGATATTTGCATCTCTTATATTGGAGTTAGGTTTTATCATTTTAAATTGATTTTATTTTAATCTGAATTATCTAAACAGTATAAATACAGTTTCTCTGTAAGTCCCCTTTCATACCTCTTAAAAGTATTGAAAAACAAGAGGGCCATAAAAATTAACTGTGACATTTAGAAAGTGTTGTATTGCAGTTTATTTCAATTATTGTATACCTTTAATTTTAAATCTCTGATTTGGCTCTGTCCTGTAATGACTTTCTCAATATTTATAAATTTTATACCTAAATATTTGCTTTTCTTTCTACATGTGTTCAGGATATTTAGAAAATACAGATAAGTAGATAAAAGAAATAATACCCAAAGATAAACCAGGATTGATGTTTTGATGTGTTTCATTCTAGTCTTCTTCCTAGGCATATTTTTGGTTTGTCTCTTTATCTGGTTAGTCATAGTATGTACAGATATCCTACACATGAGGAACTATATATAATTATATAAACTTCACAAGTATTCAGAAAGTATACTGGATGGGAATTAATACTCATCGTACAGGTTTAGAACTCTGAAGGACTTCAGATCTCATAAACTCTGGCTCCATCATTTCCTGTCTCAGGAGAGTGAAGCCCCTCAGAGGGCACGGCTGGGCTCTGATTCTCACTCTCCTGCTCCCTTAACTGCCTCGTCTGAGAAGCCATTTCGAATTGCTTCCTCGAACAAGGCAGGGCATGAATCAATAAGTTTATTTTTAGTGCATTGAACCAAATAAGTCCCATGCTACTGCCTTTTTCATGTTTGTCCTTTTTATTTTATTATTTTATTTTTTTTTTATTATTGGGGATTTGGGGGATGGGAACAGCGCTGGAGAATTGGGGGAAGGGGAACAGACAAATTGCTGTCCTTTTGTTCTTCAGTCTGGTTGTGGAGGACGTTGCTTCACTGGCCCAAGTTGGCACCATCATTGCGCTCTTCCTGGGCGAGGCAGATGAGTAGCTGGCTTCTGGACGGCCGCTCACTGTGGCTGCTGGCCGCTCACGCTGGCTGCTGGCCGCTCACGCTGGCTGCTGGCTACACACGGTAGCCCATGGCAACCCACTGCAGCAGGGGCTGCAGCCTACGCCATCGCCAGCGACTCAGGGCAACCCAGCTCCAGGTTGAGCTGTTGTTCAACATCTTAGCTGTGGAGGGCAGTGTCACTGGCCCTCATATGTGGGATCCGAACCAGGGCCCTCTGGCGTCCCAAGCCAGTTCTTAACCAATGCGCCGTTCGGCCGGCCCCATTTTTGTCCTGTTTAATAAGAAGAAAAGGAAGCCTGGTGCTTGAATGTTTGGCATGTGCATTTCAAAGTGAAATGAGAAGCGGGACTGCACTGCCCCGTGGCTGAGAGCAGTCGCTTTGCAATGAGCCTGATTTCCCATCCCTCTTCAGTGTGGGTAATAGCACCTCCTCATCAAGTTCTCCTGAGAGTTGTATTAGATCATGGAGACAGATCCCCTTAGCACAGTGCTTAACCTATAATAAGCTCTCAATTAATACTTCTCAATTAATACTTGTGCATAAAAAAGCATGTATATAAAATTACTCAGTAAGCTGTAAAGGCTTAGTATTATAGGATTCAATTGCTGGATTCCAAGACTAATTTTATAATAATTAGGAGTATTAACTATCTATTTTTGAGAAACCAGTAAATTATGGGTATACCAATTGCTAAATAGTAATGTAATGGTTCATTAGATGAAATATATAAAAGTGAGAAAGCATTAAGTATAAATAAAGGATTTCAGTGTATGGAGACCCTTGATATGAATTTATACATACCAGCAGCAGAGGGAGGAACTTTCTACATTTCTTAGTCCTTCATATCAATCTACAAGATACCAGATCAACTATAAAAACTCAGTCACATGGTGCCTTCTGGAGGGAGCTGCTTATCTAAACCCAGCTCCGGTTTTGATACCAAGTGATATTTGGCAACACTGATTCTACGGGTTGATAAACCCGTAAAGTTTCCATGCTGATAATATACCTGCTAAACGGTATCATGTAGGAGAGACAGCAAACAGTCCTCAGCCCTCTTTCCGTTTGTTTCCATTAGAAATGTCCAGAAGGAAGACCGCACCCCTATGGCTGAAGAATACAGTGAATATAAGCACATAAAGGCGAAACTACGGCTCTTGGAGGTGCTTATCAGCAAGAGAGACACCGATTCCAAGTCCATGTAGTGGGCAGCCCCAGCCTGAGCTAAGGCGGCTGGTGACACGCGGGGAATTTGCCACCTGCCTCCCCTGGTAAACAGCAGCTCTGCAGAAACTGGAAGGCAGCCTCAGGGCTGGACCTGCAAAGCATGTAGCCCTCTGCCTCCAGGCCATTAGGATCGGCTCTAGCTTCCATTGCCTGCCTTAGAAACCGCCTAGATGGACGAAGGCACCGTGCTCTGACCGAGGAATTTTGTGAGGGAAAGTCAAGATTCCTGCGCACGCGTGCACCAACACGCACACTGTAGTGGAAGCTTTACTAACACTAGCAGTGATAAGTCACTACATTGAGACACACTCATCTACAGAGAATATACACTGTTCTTCCCCGGATAACTGAGAAACAGGAGGCTATTCTCTGTCCGTAACTGTGATTAAAACCAGCTCAGTACTTCACTCTGGAGAGCAAACTTGCTGGGCCGGTCCCTGTTCTCTTTGGACCCAGTTAAGTGGGAATGTGCATTGGAGCCCTATTTGCTGCCTTGGCCATTCCTGTGACCTTTCCACAGAGCTGCACCTCCCCCCACTCATGTGAATTGTTTCCCCTTCAGCTCTCAGGTAGATAGAAGCGGCATCTGCCCTGAATGGCAGTACAAAAATCTATTGGACGGTGTGTTTGTATGTTTCTCCAAGACTTCCTCAGCTGACAAAGAATTTTGAGCCCAGTAGGACTGGGTTACCTGCAGAGGACAGAGGGAATATAGCAGGAGTTATATTAATGCTGATTTTTAAATCAGGTAACAGGGTAAAGAGCCTGGAGAACTCTTTCCTGAACATTGACTGCACTTACCAGCCTCAGATGTTAACATCAGACACTAAGCGAGGCCAGCATGCTATGGCAGCATTTTTGGGGTTCGGTTTCATTTTGGCACAAGCTAAACAGAAAGGATCTTGCTTAATTTCTAGCTGAAGTGTGGAGGATCATAAGAGAAAGAGAGAGCACCTGTGTTCTCAACCACTTGAGTAGTTACCAGAGTTCTTTTTTTTTTTTTTTTTAAGTAAGCCTGCACTAAAATCCCCTAACTGAGGGATAAATATAGCCCTTGGAGTTCAGCCCAAGGCAGAATCTAAATCACATTATTTTCAAGATCATGTATAAAGAGGACAAATAAAGGTGTGTGGCCAATTATGATGATAATTTTGTCAAAGACTGTGTCACAAAGCTGTCTATATTAGACAATTTGGAGGGACCAGGAAATTTGAGGCACCAAATCATTCATCTCTTCAATGTGCTGATGTCACTTTGTGATTTGTTGTTACTTTATAACCCGCCATGTGCGCACTGGGGAGTGTGGGTCCTGGCTCTGCCTGTCCATTCCAGGTCCACCTTTGTGCTTTGTGAGGGCGAGTAGGGACAGCACAGCAGCCACTGAGTGCCCAGAAAAGGCATTTCAGCATCTCTGCTTTTGGAAGATAACGTTGCAGTTTGAACAGGACAACAGGATGTCCTTTTCTATGTTTTGCCTTCTTAAAGGGTACCACTTGGTTTTGTTTTCTTTTTTTTTTTTTTTTTTAAGAAGACTAAGAAAAGAAAGAGAACGTAAAACCCTACTGGCCAGATGTCCGTTTCAAAAAACGGGTTTTTGAGAAACTGGTCAGATTGAATTTATAGCAGCAATTTCCATTGCTGAAGTGAGGCGGCAGCTCTGTCAGCTGAAAATTGTTTAAGATGGGAGTGGGTGAAAAAGAACGCCTCTACATTTGCTCTGAAAAATATCTGCGTAGAAGCATGAGCATTGTGTTGGAGGTGCCCTGGTTTAATCTACACACTTAAAGACGGTACCTAATCCTCCAAATGTAAATGGACATGAAAATATAGTTTGGTATTCTTTGCTCCACTGTTTACATTACAGATGGCTATAATTTCAAGGAGTTATATTATAAATGAAATGCACTTTAGATAGGACGTTTTCTATTTTTGAAATCTGAACATGAATCATTCACATGACCAAAAATTGTATTTTTTAAAAGAAATACATGTCTAGTCTGTCCTTTTCAGTAATTATTCTTCAAAATAAGCTATAATATAAATCAAATCATTACCAGTTAACTTTTAAAGCACATCTGTGTAAGAGTATTGTTTTGAAAATACTAATATGCTACAGAATTTTTAAAAAGAGGAAAAGCTATATAAGTGAGAAGCTACTAAATGTTTTGAGATCTGTTGTTTCTGCAAAAGGTAAATTAAGTAAAGGATTTTTTTCAGGAATCCCCATTCAAATTTGTATGATTGAATAAAAGAAACGCCAAGTTATAGTAAAATAAATTGTGTATGCAATGTCATGTTTTCTTTCTAATTTCTAATAATCTATGTAGACTGGTGCCCACAGTAAGGGGGGAATAGCCCTATTACACTAGATCCTATCTGAAGACATGTTATGTCACTAGGTTCTGACTCTGCCAGAAATGCTGTGGCAAATTTGTTTCCACAGCAACCATTTCTGCAGCCCAGGGTATCAAGACCCTAGAGGCAGCATCTTAATTGGCTTCACACAGAATACTCTAGACTGGGCTTTTTTTCTTTGCTCTCTTGGGAATGTATGTGTGTTTATTAGCACATGCCAACGAAATAAGTGTCAAGAGTTATTTATTAACACTGATAAGTAAAGGTAAAGCGTGAACAAACTTGATTGTATGGTTATAAGAATTAGAGATAGAAGAGGCTTGTAATCTTCACAAGCATTTGCTTTTAGTGAGTCTGGAATACACATGGAAATAGATGTTTATATTCAGTATGGTATCATCACTGGTTTCATTTTGCATCATCTTGACTTTTTAGTCAAGGTTTTGGTTTAAGGGCCTACTTAAAAGTTTTCAAGACAGCTGAAATCTGTCTTGCGCTATTAGGAGAAACCTTGCACAATCTCAGTGATCTCCCATTCAGGGGAAATTTCCTTGAAAGACCAAATCAAATTAGATGTCTTCCATTGGGTTGCCAGTTTGGTCAGGACTATTATTGCCAAGGTAGGGATCAGCCGTGTCTCTAAGTGTAACATCAGTGTCATTTTTGCTTTGTCTCATTCTGATGCAATGCTTGTGTGCTGGCAGGGTGTGTCTGCTCCCAGGTATGGCATTTCTAGTCCAGGATATATGCCTCAGGGGCTGTGCTTGTGTCAGAAAGGTAGCACTGAGATGTCCTGAGGTCAGTAATCTCAGAGCCCCTGAGGGCTGAGCATTTGTTAATGTGGTTGAGCTTGGAATTCCTTATAAGCTGAATTATTTTAAATTTATCATGAAAATCAATGGACGATGGCCATGGTGCCAATTAAGTTGGTTCTTTCTGGGGCTGCCTAGTTCTCAGTAACAGAATTGGGCCCAGTATCTAGAATGAATTGCAGATCTACAAGAGAAACCAAATTTTAAAGTTTGTTAATTTTTTTTAATGATTTTTTTTTTTAAGATTTTTATTGGGGAATTGGAACAGCGCTGGGGAATTGGGGGAAGGGGAACAGACAAGTTGCTGTCGTTTTGTTCTTCAGTCTAGTTGTGGAGGACTTTGCTTCACTGGCCCAAGTTGGCACCATCATTGTGCTCTTCCTGTGTGAGGCAGGTCAGTCACTGGCTTCTGGACGGCCGCTCACTGCGGCTGCTGGCTGCTGGCTACACACGGTAGCCCATGGCAACCCACTGCCACAGGGGCTGCAGACTACGCCGTCGCCGGTGATTCACAGCAGCCCAGCTCCAGGTCGAGCTGTTGTTCAGCATCTTAGCTGTAGAGGGCAGTGTCACTGGCCCTCATATGTGGGATCCGAACTGGGGCCCTCTGGCGTCCCAAGCCAGCTCTTAACCAATGCGCCACTCGGCCGGCCCTTTTTAATGATTCTTAATCTGATAATAAAGATATCATTTTTCTTAAGGGTAACACCTTACTACTTTCAATGGTATATTAATAATTGAACACCATAAACTATTAACTGTTTTGTGAAAAGGTGGTTATAGTCTAAATTTCATTTTGCTTCCAAGACTGGTCTTCCTGACACCACTTCCTGGATTATTTTTTCCCATCGGAGGAAAGTGGTGGTTTCTGCACCACAATAAACACGTCCTTCATGTTCTTTTTCAGTATCCACTTGGTTAAATCAACAGAGAGGGACAAACTGAAACAGGCAGTTTTCTCTGAAGCCCTTGTGCTTGGTAGAACCCAGAGTGTGCTTTTGTTTCCTTTTATTCGCTTTAATTTTTTCCCCACTCAACCCACAAAATGTCCTAAATAGTATATTTTGTCAAAAGATGGGCTAACAATATTTTCAAATTTTTATATATTCAAATTGTGCATACTGGCCCTTCTTCACAGGGTGACTGACATGGCAAGCTTCAAACAAGAGTTATCTACATGTGGTTTTGGCCACTTTCCCTATTGAAGACTGTGCTCCTGTGGGCATCTGCGTTCTTCCACCATGACACTCATAACAGATGTATGTAGATAGGCTGAGATCGCTTACAGATTTGCACAGATGCCTGTAAAATGAACTCTACATCTACAACTTTGTTGCTATGAAGCTGCAGCTGTGTCTCTAGAGAATCTCATTTTGCCTGTAATCCAGCCCGTCGCTGTCAAGGGTGTGGCTTGAGAAATTGGTTCAGTAGATCTAATTCTCCATCTAAAAGCATCTCTCCAGTCATGAAAATCTCCAAAAGGGGATACAATTTTAGTAAAGAAAATGGGCCCAGAACAATGTTTATGTGACATGTAAGCAGAAAGCATTTGAAATTACAGTTGTCCTTTTTTAAAATGTAAACTGAATGAAAAATGTTATGTACATTTTTGTACATGACTGTATTTTGTATAAACGTAAATAAAATATTTTGAACTGTGACTGTTCTGGAATTTTTGACAGCGTCAGGAACGTGTGACTGAACCACCTGTGGGGTCGACCTTTCCCTTCAATAAGGAACCAAGCTGCTCCCTCGAGCTCCTCAGAAGCCTTATGAGGACGAAGTTTTTGTTGTTCTGGCTCCAGAGAGGGCACCAAAAGGTGAGGCAAACTGGGCACACACTAGGCATGCCCATGGTCATAGGTAGGGAAATGGGCTTGTGCTCTCTGCTCAGCTGCCTTTAGAAGAATTCATGGAAGGGGCAGGAGTGGTGTAGGAGCAAAGGCAGTAAGCAAAATGAATGAACGAATGTGTAAGTACATTTTCACAGCCTGTTTTGCCATCACTGGTAAACATATTAGTCATTTACTACTCTGAAGCTAATAAGGCCACCAGAAAACTGACTCAAGAAAAGGTCCATTTCAGTATGACAAATGAGCAGCTCACCCTTTCTATCACCTGTCACAGGCCAGGTGCTCCCTCATGCAAGTCTTGAACAGCCTGCGGAGTCAGGCGGCAGTTGCTCCTCCTTACATTGAGACACCTCTGCGTTAGGCCTCAGGTGTTCTTTAAACTGTACATATGTTATATGTGCTCTTAGTAACAAAAATAAATGTTAAAAATATATTAAACCTGGAGACAACCGGGCCGGCCGAATGGCGCATTGGTTAGGAGTTGGCTTGGGACTCCAGCTCTGAGCAGCAGGGCTCCGGTTCAGATCTCACATGAGGGCCAGTGATGCTGCCCTCTACAGCTAAGATGGTGAACAACAGCTCTACCTGGAGCTGGGCTGCCGTGAGTCACCGGCGACTGTGTAGGCTGCAGCCCCTGTTGCAGTGGGCTGCCATGAGCTCCTGTGAGTGGCCGGCAGCCAGTGTGAGATGCCAAGAGCCACTGTCCAATGGCCAGCAAGCGACTGCCTCACCCAGGAAGAGTGCAATGGTAATACCAACATGGGCCAGTGAAGCGACGTCCTCCACAACTAGACTGAAGAACAAAAGAACAGCAACTTGTCTGTTCCCCTCCCCCAATTCCCTAATAAAATCTTAAAAACAAAACAAAAAAAAACCTTGGAGACAACCAAGATGGTGCATGAGGTAAGTGCTATGCTTACCTTCTCTCACAACCACATCAAAATTACAGCTAATCTACAAAACAACCATAATTGAGAATCACCTAAAACCAAACTGAACTGAAGCCTTTCAACTAAGGACGTGCTGAAGAAGCCGCCTCCAGGCTGGTAAGAAAATCAGAGACGTGGAACAGGCTGGTCCCACACCTGCGTGTGACCATTAAAGATTGGGAGGGCTATTTCAGCTGTGGGGGTGCCTCCCCATCCCCTAGAGACGCGAGAGATCCCAGCCCCACCCCAGCCCAGTGTTCCAGTGCTGGGGAGAGAAGTCCCCACAATGTTTGGTTGTGAAAACCAGCGGAGATTGTGACTGAGTGAGACAGGGCAGCTGCACTCCCAGGCGCTCCTCTTAAAGAGACTGCATGCAGACTTACCCACCAGTGGAATCACATGCTCTGAGCTCCAGCGCTGGGGCAGCAGCTGGAAAGACAGCAGGGACAAATGGTGGGGAACTGAGTTGTCTGGCTTGGGAGTGGAGAGGCAGCTTTCTCCTGGACGGGGGAGCTGGCAGAGGCCATTGTTTCTTTGTTGATCTCTCCCCCTTGCTAGGGTGCGAACACAGGCAGTAGCCATATCTGAGTCACCACCATTCGTTTGCCATGCCCTGGCGATTTGAGACCTGGCCCCGCCCAACTTTTGGGCACATCCAGCTGCTTTCAGTGGCTTTTTCATGCAGACCTCTTGCCTTGGCTCAAACTGCACTTTCCTAGGGTCTCTCAAAGGTTCACGGAACCCAGACAAGCAGCATCTGGCTTGAGTGTGTCCTGTACCTCTGGCTGAGCAGCCCTAAACTGGCACTAGTGACAGCCAGCCTTGGTTTATGACTTGGCCTCTCAAGGAGCTTCCAAGCACAGCACGGGCAGCAGACATCTGTGGATTTCTTTCTGGCTCCCATTAGGTGGCTGGGGTGGGGCACAGACTGTGTCTGAAGTAGACCCACAGTGGATCTCTTCCAAGATGGTCCTGGAGCTGGCATCCCCAGTGACCAGTTTCAAAATGAGCTGGTGCATCACCCAGCTGTCTCCAAGTACAACACATCCAAGGGGCAGATTGGGCAGACACCAGAGTCCTGCTGAGGCAGATCCTGCTCCATAGGGTCAGCCCCTGCACCACAACTCTTCCACTGTAGTCAAGGCCAATCCTCACAACCAGTGAGCCCAAGGGTCAGTCCCTCCCATTGATGTGCAGTTATCAGGCTGAACTACAAGAGGAGGGCACACACAACCCACACAAGGGACACACCTGGAACGCCTGGCTCAGGTGACCAGAAAGACTGTGCCACTGAACCCCACAGCACACCTACTACATAAGGCCCCTCTACTAAGACTGGAAGACA